GTACCATACGCAGTACGAGTTTGCTTTATTTTTTCGATAAATCGTCCGATAACTTTTTTATGGAGAATAATCGAAAAATTGAATTTGTTTTTTTTTAGCCTAATTTGAACATTTTTAGACCTCGTGTCTTCAAATTTGGTTTTATATAAAGTTCATCAATACAAAGATTTTGTAATTTACAAAATTTGGATACCACGCCCCCTTCTCCCCCAATTTCCAATTTCAAGTACTAGAGACTTGTGCATTGGAATGTACACACATGTTCACCATATGATTACATCTGAAAGTTTCATTAAGATCGTATGTCTACAAAAGAAATTATTAGACAAATAAATTCTCATAATATTGCCCACACTGCAGTGCAGCCCAAGCGCAGCCGCTGCTTACTGCGCAGTTAGCAGAGTTAGCAAGCTTATGGCGCAAGCTTATGCGTGTGTGTGGATGCATGTTTATGTATGTGTGCATAAAAGAAGTGCAGAATAATTAGAATATCAGCTTAGAGGGTTCAGGGTATCTCCTAGTCGAACAGTCTCGACTGGAGCCTTCTTACTTGTTTTTTTTTTTTTGCTTTGAAATGAACATTTGATCGCGTTCTGAAAGTTTTATGAAAATAGTCCCACTACAAGAGAAATTATTCAACAAAAAGTCTTAATATTGCTCACATTGCAGCCCAAGCGCAAATGCTGCTAGCTGCGCAGTTATCACAGCTCGTGTTTATATGTGCGTAATATTTATATGTATGTATGCATAAAAGAAGTGCAGAATGATTAGAATATCTGCTTGGAGGGTTCAAGGTATCTCCTCGACAAGACCCTTCTTATTTAGAATTTTCAAAATATGTATAATACTTTTATAATATTAGAGTTTACAAATATGGAAGTCTTTGCATTGAAATAATCTTTAATAATTACTTTAAACAATTTTTTACAGGTATATTCGATGTATAAAACCAAATTCTCTTAAACAAGCAAATATATACAATGAGTCCTTAGTTCTCGATCAATTGAGGTACCTTGGAATTTTAGATATAATTCGAATTAGACGCGAAGGCTTTCCAATTCATCTGACTTTCTCAGAATTCATATCAAAATATAAATGTGTGATAAGAAATAAAACATTTTCAAATAGCCTTAATGATATACTGCTTGTATTAAAAGAGCTTAAAGTCCCAGAAACTGAGTGGCAAATTGGCAAAACAAAAATATTTTTAAGAAGCTCTGCAATTGAGCCGTTGGAGGATGAAAGAAAAAGGATAAGATGTGCCAACTCAATAATTATACAGAAAAACTGGAGACGTTACTTAAACAATAAGAATTATATGCATGTAAAGAAATCTATACTTATTATACAACACGCGTATAGGGGTTGGAAATTGCGAATTAAATTTTTAAGAATACGTCGAAGCGTAATAATAATACAAAGTCGACTACGTGGTGTATTTGCAAGAGAGGTAAGAAAATACAACTAATAAGCTTTAAACATACTATTTATATAGGTTGATCGAAGCATAGCCTATCATTTTTTTTATACCCTGAACCCATTGAAAATGGGAAATCAGGGTATAATGGTTTTGTGAAAAAGTATGTAACGGGCAGAAGG